TCATTCTTAAACCTCAATTCTGCAGCTGTAGCTGTTCAGAAAGAGATATGAGTACATTGAGATTAAATGCTGATAAATACATAAATGATGCTTCCTCACATCGTGTTATTTAAAGTGATTTTTTCTCAGCTCACTCATCAGTCTCCAAAGCTAAAAGATATTCCTTTGAATCATATTTTCACCTCGAGGCCAACTAGGACAAAGTTTAGGCATAACTGAAATAGTTGCTTTGGCTGAAAAATTACAGTTAATTATAGTTAGCTCTGGCTGCTGTAGATTTGGCTTTTTTTTTTGGCCTATACTTTCCGCCAGAAGAAATGGGGATGGACAGCCTAAGCTGCTGAGCTAATGCAGAGCAGACATTTTCCCTTTCTGCATAGCTGCATGTGTCACAGCCCCATTATCAGGTGAGTTGGAGAGTTTTTATAGTGTGGGAAGAGAGAGCTAGGTTCTTTGCACTGTTGATTTCTTTCCTCCTTTCCCATGCCACATTCAAGAGTAGAAGAGAATTGTCCCGTGCCATCACCCAGCACCATCAGAAATCTTCCCTAGTCTCCCCATACCTCCCCAAGCTGCTGAAACTTTCCATCTCTCTGCATCAGTCAGACCTTTTCCCTCTCTCCCTTCTCCCCAGGCATCTGCCATTCCCAGTTCCTGATATGTCTTTTCCCAGCGGTATGTGCCTTTCCCCACAAAGCCTATGCTGCACCTGCATTATTCCTTTTCACTCAGTGTTTGCACACTCCTACCTATGTATTGGACAAAAGACTTCCAGGCTTCTAAACAAATTGCTCCTTTTTGGCCTACCCCTGTGTGTAACCCCATCCTCCCTGAATCACGCTAGCCTTCCTCAACACCAACATGGGCAGCAGAGCTAAGCCAGTGTCTTAGCTCTCCCATGCACTGGCATAGCTTCTGCCAGCCCAAGATCTTGCCATGATGTTATGAGGAACAAACTGGATCGTGATGCCAGCCATGTAACTGTAGCAAAAACTCTGGCCATGAAAGTCACAGCAATGAAAAATTTACTGTCTCAGTAGACAGGATGAGCATAGCCTTGTGAGAAGGGAAACAGGAGAGCAGACAGAAGAAATATGACAGCCCAGCACAGAGGACTTTGGTTATGTCTTCAGAGCTAGATGTGCTAATGTGGACCTGCATCTTAAAAAGAACAGGTTATGGCTAGGGGATCATCACTCACAGAAAGCAGGGGTACCAAGATTTTATGGTCAACCATGTGATCCTTGAAAAGGTTGAACTTAACCCTCAAAACACATAGCTCAAATAAAAAATAATTTAGAATGTTATAATGAAAAAGTGTTAAGACATATTAAATATTCATGGGGGGTCCCCTTTGATTTTATACACCATGACTGTTGAAAATTTTACATTCTTAAAACAAAGACATTTGTATTAACTCCAGGGATATGTCACCCTCTGAAGAAGACAAAAATGCTTACAGAACAGGTGAATAAATATGTAGAATGGGAGAAATGACCTTCTTGCTAGCACAGCTCTTTGTGCATGCTAAATCACGCATGGTAGAAAAGATTTCAAAATGATATTTGTAATTTACCCAGGAATGGTAAGTGAAGGGAAAAAAAAGAAATGCATCTGTTTCAGATATCCAAGTTTTGTGTTGTTTTGCTGATTAGAAATAGCCCAATTTGTTTTATGACATCATTTATTACTGTACCACAAGGTTCCAATAAACACTTTAATAAACAGCACAACCCAAAAACTCATCATCCCTGGTTATGTCTCTATAAAAATTTATGGCAGCATCATTCTGCCAAGACTCCTGACTGAAGAATTTAACTTAAATGGTTATTTACAATTTTTGTGTGTTTTTAGAACAATTGCCATGCAGCTGGTTAACACCACATCAGCCCCGCACATCCACAGCAGCAGACACTCAGACATTAAAAAGGCATATTGCATCTCCTGCACCCCCCACATTGGCCTGGTGTGGGAAGGGATGAGTGATGGAGTGGTTATAAGCTTGAGCCCGATCTCCAGTTCTACCTTGGCATTGCCCTGTTGAGTTCAGATGCAGATACTAGGGTTGGTGAGTGACTTTTTCTAGACCATGGAAGCTGAATTCCAGTCCAGTTCCCTTGGCTATTGTTTTGAATATATGGTTATACCTGCGTGATCTTTATGGTTGAAACACTGATGAGAAAACTCTTGACTTCACGTAGCTCCACAAACTATTCTTTCCTTCCAGTTCATAGTTTCAGCTAGTAGTTTTGCACATTGAATACATCTTGAAACAGTGAGATAATTTTCTTACATATTGTAACAATACATAATGCTATCAAACTCTTAAAAATAAGCTCTAGTACAAAGGCCTTCAGCAGAGAGAGACGGAGATAAAAAAGCAGAACAGCTGGAATGGAGGAGCAGCTACAGAAAGAATGGAAATTCACAGATAGCTTCTTAAATGAATAAAACGATAATGTATGCAACACAGATGTAAATAAAATTTAAAGACAGTTATCAGAGGATAAACCAGCTGGAGCAATGTGGAAATAGACAGTGCGTGAACAGAGCACATAAGAGATGAAGATCAAGAACTCTTTTTTGCATTCTGGCCTCTTTGAGCTATTGGAGTGGTTCCCTCAGGAGACTAGCAGGATCAAAAAGCTGTCCTCCTGCTTCTCTCCATGGTTACTGCTGTCCCCTGGGGAGCCCATGGGTGGTGGCCCAGGGGATGAGTGGGATGCAGCACACCTTGCTCTTGGTCCTCTGGGACCTAACTCTGGCTCTGGGCTTGTTGAGTGGGGACTCTTGTCGTGAGGGGACACTGTCAGCAGAGCAACACATGAGGAGGAGCACAAAATAAATTACAGATGAGTTAAAAAGAGAAAAAAAGGGGTCTGCTGCTGCTCAGAGCCCCTGCTTTTTTAACTTGTATTTTTATTCAGTTGTAGTTGCAGCACAGAAAAATAAAACAAGAGGAAGGGATTTGATACACGCAAAGATAGTTCAGCTTAACAGTGGCAACAATCTGTCAGATTCCCAATATTAATTGGCCATGTTTGTTTCCTCAGTAGAAAAGAGAATTTATCAGGAATGCTATTTATATAAAAGATAGCTGGTTTTATACCTATTTATACAAAGCAAGCAATCTTGGCATAAATCAGCATTAAAGCGTTTAAACAATAAGTTGTTAACTCATAAAACAGTAAGTCAGCTTCCAACACAAGACAAAATCCGTCACTGTCAGATTCTGCTCACTTGGTAGGAGTCTCCAGGCAAATTCTCTCACATCTGTGCCTTAAAAATAGATTTATCTCAATGTGCGAGGGATTTAGCTCAGATTCCAATCGCAAAGAGGTCCATTTCCAGGCCATTTTTAGAGCAAAGTCGTAGATGCACACAGGTGTGGGTTTTTTTTACTTGTTTATTGGCTTGCCTTTTTTGTTTTTAAGGGGAATGTCACTGTTTTATTTTTCATGGGTATTGCACCACAGAGACCAAAAGTATATGGGCTTCACCACTGTGCCTTCATTTGTAAGTTCTCCTATGGCTCAGTATATGACTGTTCTTTACTACACTGGCTTATGCAGCTTTTTCCTTTTCAATTTTCTTAGCATTAGTTCCTACTGTACAGCTCAAGACTAAAAATAAAGGATAAAATGACAATAAAGGCTCCCAGGGAAAAACAAAAGGGAGGAAACATGAAAAGGACTTGAGAAGAAAAGGGTACAAAAGCACAAAGTACAAAGGAGCCTAGAGTTGAAAAGATTATAGAATTATGGAAAAAAAAGTGCTAATGTAATCTTAAAAAAAAAAAGATAGAAATAATTCAAATGAAAAGCCATCAAAAGGAAGATAAAAAGGAGGAACATTTAAGAAAAAACGGAGATATTTTTAGACAGCCTGCTTAACCTGAGGGGACAGCCTTCAGGAAAGCCAGATGTAGTTTACTGAAATTATTATCCTAATAAAATGTGTAACAGAACACAGAGCACCATAACAACACTTCTAATGGCAAACACAAAACCATGTTTTCCCTCTCCTTCCATAATGCCTTTATTCTGAATAGATCATGAGCACAGCTTTCACACCAGATGCCGGCATTCCCAGTTTGTTAATTCTCTGGGGAAATAATGTCCGCATGGCTTGTCTTTATTTTCCTATAATGGACACTGAAAACTTGAAAATTCCCACCTAAAAAAGGTGCTTATTATTTTGGGACCTGCCATCACTGAAGGGGGAACCTGCTATGAACCAGCAAGCCCCAGTGGGTAAACTAGTGACCTGGTGGTTTTGGCCAAAAGGAGCGATGCAGGCAGCCCTGCCAGATGCTTCTAATAGGGAGGGGGCTGACAAACAGTGTCCTCTTGGCAAGAGAAGGTCCCATCTCTGTGCCTGCTGGTACCCCAGGGGGTGAAGGCATCTCAGTGCTGGGTGGGCAGGTATGTGGCTGGTACAGAGTGTTCCCTAAGTCTTTTGGGCAGAGAGATGGGGATGTGGCCCTGCAGGATGGAAGCAGTGTTGCCAAGCTCTGCCTGCCCCTTCCAGTTGTCATACCCAACAGCTTTAATTACTTATGTGGTGCTCTTAGCAGGGTTAAAATCAGATAGCCACTCTGGTCAGTTCAGCTAGCTAAAATGGCTGTCATTAATTTTCTACACAATCTCTTGTTATAGTGCTATATTTAGAGCTCAAAAGTCTTTCTTTTTTTTTTTTTTTTTTCCCCCCCTCTCATTCTGAGTCTTATTTACAGCAACATCTACCTTTCCTAAAATTATCACATTTTGATTGGAATTTGTTATATTTTTTCTCATTTCAGAAATAGCCTGTTTTGAAACAACTTTAAAAAAAGCGTTAGTCTTGTGTCTAATATCATTTAATGTAAAAAGATAAAAGAGTGAGGATTCTCACTGGTAAAGACAGTCTGCATCTCCCACTTCATTTCACTGGTGCCCAGGTATAAATCAGTTGAAAAGGAAGTTAGATAGGTAAGCAAAAGAAACATTCATCAAAGACTATGAAACACAAAGGTGCAAAATTAGTCTTTGTCTTAAAAAACCAGTAAGCTAAGTCTCTGGGACTACTGGAAAATGAAATACCACTCGGTTCTTAGTTTGCTTTTATTCTTGTGTTTGACCTATGGAGCTGGTCTAGATGAATCACTGGAGATGGCTTGACCATTTTTATGTTATAAAACCAGAGCACAAAGAACCCAAAATACCTTTTTAATGTATGTGTCATATGCAGATTTCTTTGGTATGAGTTGCATCAGAAACCAAGTGCCAAATGTCACTGCTTGACACACCATCAAAGGGAGCGAATGTGGAATCCATGCTCTACCTTGCAACACACAGCATTGTCTAGGCTGGGAAAAACATGGGCAATGGTGAAATGGAGAAACTCCTCATTAAGTCTTAACCTAACAACAGCTAACCTAATCATTCCTGGACGTGGATAAGGGGGAAAGCAAGGTTGAACCTAGGCAGCAGGGAAATTAAAGGTAAAAAACAGACCACAGCCAAGCTGTCTTTGACATTTCTGATGTGCAAACCGCTGTCAGTTCTGCACCTGGCAGTCTGCACAGCCAAGAGTAGGCACAAAACTTCATTTCTACCCATGGTCTGATGTGGATGGTAGGCTGTCTCTCTGCCAAATCCAAGTCAGTTAGTCCCGAGAATGCCATTACTCCCTCACAGGGATGGCCTCAAATGTCTAACCTTGTCTTCATTCTCCTCTCACTGTCCCTAACAAAGTAAAAAGCATTTGGACACCAATTTGCTAAGTCCAAATGGATTTCCCTGCAGTAGGAATTCTCCCATTTATGGCTAGTTTTAATTACTTGTTTCACATTTTTATATTCATGGCATGTTTGTTGAGGAAATGCAAGTGCCAAGGAAGCAAGGATAGAATAGGTGGAGCACAAATCAATCTTCCATGGGCAGAACAGCCCTCAAAACCATTTCATCTGTTTACAGAATTTCACTGGTTTATCTCATTTAGGCTCAGCTTACTAGGAAGCAACAGTCTGTCATGCGTGGTTCCTGTAACCGAGATGTGCAATCAAACTGGAGCAGTAATGAAGACAAATCACACAAGAACATTCTGCACAGCCCATGAGTTGATGTATATTTGAATAACATAGCTTATCAAATCTGCTTGAGAAAATCAGAGGTGGTTTGTGAAATGCTCAGGAATAGAAAAATATTCTGCTGGAAAAATCTTGTTGCTGATCGCAGAAAGATCTTGTTAAGCTATCCTGCAATAAGTGGACCAAACGTGATGGAGAAGGCAATTTTTTCCAAGAAAGAGCTGCCCTTCAGTAGCAGAGAAATTAAGTATCACAGAATGAATGCAATGAGAAGGTGTTGGCTAGTCTTTATATTCAGGCCTCCAAATCTAGGACTCCAGCTATACATGTGAGCCTGCAGGACTGCAGCTCCTTCAGTTAAAAAAGATAGTTCTGTCTAATGGTATTAGTACAATGAATCTGTGGAAATGAAAATACATGAAGCATTTCCCAAATGTCCATACATATGGTTAATCTTAACTTAAAAGCTGAGTGCGTTACTATGACCTCTCTGTTCCCCACCCACCCCCTTTCCCTGTTTCCAGTGCTTTTGCACCTTCATGTGAACAAATCTTAATGTTTGCTCCATTCTTCTTTAACAACATATTCTTCTTTATGTAAGAAGTCTGAAAGTAAACTCCCCTGTGAAGGATGGTGTCAGTATTCCCCTCCACAACCTTCTTGTCTTTAAACAGTAAAATTGTTGACACATGGCTCAGAATATGAATATTTGATCAAAATGAACCTTCACTGATTCCAGAATTTTCACGTCCCCAAGCGTCTTTTTGGCAGATGGCCAGTAATCATCTACATTTTTTTCCATTTGGATCCACCTTGTTTCAGGTTTAATGCCCTTAGAATAGAACAACCATTATGGAAATTAGTTCGCAGCTGCTGTACATCAATGTTTAGAAAATTAATATTACCCACATTACACAGCACAGAAGCTGAATTTTAATGAAGCATGGAAACTATAAGCAAATTGACCTTTAACCTCATCAGAGAAATAGTCAAACACAACTTTGTCTGAGAAAACTTATAATTTCCAACAGAATTCTCTGGACACAATAGTAGAACTATAGTTTTTATCATTATAATAAAAGGAATGAAACGCTTCATCAGATTACAGAAGGCAGAAGAATCTAAACTGTTATGTTTTCTTACTGCTAAGCTTTAGAAATATTTTCTCTTAGACATATGACAATGGAAATTACAATGCTCGTAATAATAGACCTAACACATGAAGAGAAGTGATGAAATATATGCTGGGAAGAAAACTGATCTAACCAGTCAGCTGAGATTTTCACTGGCTTAGAAGCTGTTCCCAGCCCATACTGAGAAGGCAACAGCACCAGTCCCTTGCTGCTTTTTGGCTGCTGGCTTCTTTGCTTTTCTATTCTTCATCACTGTTTTCTTTTCCTTTTTATTAAACTATCCAAAATGTTCAATTCAGACCTCTTTAATTTGAATAATGTATCTTCTGTTATATTTTAAAAGAGTTATAACTGCATCATAGAAATAACAGAAGGTGTAAATTTATTATCTTCAAGCAATGTATCATGGACATTTTAATTTCAGCTAGAAGCATTTGGTTAATGTATTTTTCTTTCCCTTAAAAGAAAAAAATAATTTGAGAAACCCACTTAGGAAAACTTGCAGGGTGTCATTCTGCACAGACTTTCTAAAACAATTTTGTAGCCTTATTAAAACACCCTCCTAGTGTGTGTTTCTGCGTCTGTTTCTGCAGGGTTGGGCTTTTTGTAAACATGTGTCAAAACTGCCAGTATAAATTTACCTTGAAGGTACATCCATTGTATAAATGGCAGGTAGTACAAGAAAGTCTTCCGATGGAAAACTGCACAGATTCTAAGAGAGCCATTTACCAGTGTTCAAAGTTAGAGGAACAGGTCTGAATGCTATAGCAGCCACATTTAGTTTTAATTCACACTTAGTTGGCAATAAAACAGCTCTAAAATTCTCAAAAATTAGTAGATTTTTTTCTTTTTTTAAAAGTTGACTGGAAGACATTACAAGACTCAAATAACTAAAATAAACCGACTCACCTGGCCGCAGCATGAATCCAGCTCCATGCAAAAGGATTAAAATTAACAGGGCTTTGGAGGAAGGAGAAATTCTGCTTCTCATTTCCTTCAGACAAAATGCAGATTAGAAAACTGCAACGGAACAGAATGGGCAATAAAATTACTTAAAGGTCATCACATGTTGCAATAAACTGTAACCTAATTTATTCTTTTAATGCTGACATGAAGCTGCCGAAACTAGAAAAGCAAGTAACTTTTTCAATTAATGTCAAAATCTCCCATTTTATTTTATAGGTTGTTTTACCCATTCTAAGTTAAAATGATGCTATATTATGGCATCATTTTATGAGCCCAAGGAGACATTTTGACATTTACCATAATCTCAGAGAAAGTCAGAAGCGAAACAGTTACGAAGGATACACCGAATAAAACACCCCGAAACAAAATGTAAGAAACATTACTTTATAAATAGGAGTGGTGATTAAAGTATTGTTTTCCCCCATTTCAAATGCAGGGGCTGTATTTACCCGCACCTTCTTAATACTCTCTGACACTGCCTTTCAAATAAAAGGCAAGCATCTTGCAAGAGAGACCTTTTAAAAGCAATAAAAATCCTTCCTCAGCCTTCATTTTTGTCTCGTTATTTTACCTGCAACCATCTGACGACAGTTCAATGCAGGGGTATTATGGTTTTAAACTGCAATTTACAGACAGCCTCCGTTCCTTCCCGGAGCACTGCAAGGAAAGAGACGAGACAGAAAGGCTTGAATGGTTAGTTACACTTCAGAGCCAGTTCCTCCCAGCCCTTTTGCAGCCAGGTGCTTGAGCGGCTGTGATTTTCTCCTCTTGCCTTCTAAAGGGCATTGCCTGTCCTGTCAGAGAGCTGAGGTGGCTGTAACTCTAGGAGGACACCCTCTGTTGCAGGCAGGGTTTGGAGGTGCAGACAAATGGCTACGGCTGTGGCTGTGGCCCTGGTGCAGCCCAGCACCCTGGGCTAAGCCTGGTGGGGTGCTGCTGTCTGTGAAGCTTATCTCCTGAAAGAGGAGGACAAGGGAGGCTGTATTTCATTAACTGTTAATTGCGAGCTGCTGGCATGGTGTCGGATCTCTTTATTGTATCAGCAGCTGCTTCCAGGGATGTGGGAGCAGTTCAGAGTTGACTAAGAGTAAACTTGACTCTTGGCTGCCAATGGAGGTGATGCATTTAAAACACAGGATGTTTGTGTGGAAGCAGTTAAGCAGAAAGGTGCATGGAAAGGTGCAAGTTAAGGCCAGTGTTCATGTTTCCTGAGGGGCCATGGATGTCAGTGTCTGTTTTCTGTTATGCTTGGAGTCAACAAGTGTGTCAAAATGGCTCTGCTAAAGGTTTGAGCTTTCCCTGCTGTGGGAGTGGGAAGTTCTGGGAGATGTGCAGGTGGTGGTGGGCACAGCCTGGCTCTAGGGACAGTTTCTTTTTCGGGGGCTCAATGGTGCTAAGTTCTTGCAGAATAAAGGAGCAGGCTAAGGGAGTGCCATCACACCTTCAAGATTTGAGGCTTGAACTCAAGTCAGTCAGGCAGAAAGAAATGCCTCAACCATCTCTAGCATCACAGGAAGGATATTTGGCCACTCAGTGATGGAAGCAGAACGAGGTGGAGAACCATCATCTCCCCATGCTGTGTTTCCTTTTGGGGTTTGACATGGTGAGAGAACCCAGTCCATGATATGGCACCCAGGTGGCAGCTGGTGTGGAGCAACTTGTCGAGCTGCCAGCAGCAATTTCCTTGGGGGACATAGACACTGCCAAGCAATAGAGAGTGTGGCAAAACCTTCATTTTAGACAATTTCAGCAGCATCAAATTACCTGTGGCTACCTTATAAACCTCAGGTATTTTCTGCTCTGGTGGTGCTTTCTATAAAGCCCTGAAAAGATGCAGCTGCAACAAAAGAAGAGGAAAAAAAAAAGAAAAAGAAAGGAGAAAAAACAGGAAGGTATGGGCTTTGCACAGCAAAGGGTGAATGTTAGAAGATAGGGTATATAATTTGAGGTATAGGACTGGAATCCCCATTGATCTAACGAGCCTCACAAGCTGCTTTCTCCCTGTGTGTTAAATCACCAGATCCCTTCCCTGGTACACCTTGTAATATACCGCCAGCCAGTTTTCATCCTGAATGATACACTGCAAAATCTCCAGTAGGCCTCATTAGCAAGGAGTTTCCTAGCATTCACAGCCATGTGTTGGATTTAACTTGTATCTTACAGGAACGTTTTTCATGTCTTTGTTATGACTACAATGGCAATTTTGAAAGATTATACCAACTCCAAATGACTGCAGCTTTCTAACTGCTCCCAGGAAGAGGACAGCAGTCACGCTGTTTGAGGTCAGTTAGGAGACAACGTCTTCTGTTCTTCTGGGTTAATCAGAAGGCAGAATCTTAAGTGCTGATTTTATAAAGAACTCAGTGTCCAGTTTTCCTCCAGCCCAAGTACTGAAGTGTCTGATCAATACTAAATCTAATTTATAATGATGGCCCCTGTGAAGCTTGCAAATGTTATGTCAACATATCTTAATAGCTCTGGCTTCCTGAGTAGCCTTGTTAGCTGCAATCTTGCCTGCTTCTGCTGCTCTTCTAACTACTTCCACCTACAGAGCCCCATCTGTAACGATGTTGACCACTTCTCCTATCTTTCTTGCTTTGTTCTACCAGCAGAGGCTTCCATGCTGTCAGTTCCTGTTGTCTGATAGCTCTCCAACAAGCACATACACACACACACACAAAAAAAAAAAGAGGGAAGAAAACAAAATTAATTCCCCTGTTGATTCTCCCCTCCCTGCAACTGATGAACCAAAGAAGGAAATAATTGCTACTCTCTTTTAATAATGGCACGTTTACAGAAATTTCCATAAAGATGATTCAGAAAGGAATGCATGGATTTCTTCTCTGTGGGGTGTCCAAAACGGTTTGCATTGTTCCATAATGTTATGTTATTAGTTCTCCATTTAATTTATATTTGCATTTCCCTGTCTCCAGGGCAAATTTTTACAACTCACTTGCAAAGTACTAAATGGAGTAGTGCTGCAGTGCTAAAGAATTGCATTTTCTAGCAAGCTTTCAACCCATCCATTAATTGCCAAGAAGCCAAACCTGAAAGGTGTTGAAGGACTCCAAGAAACAGTTTTCTCCATCCTCATGTGGAGTGGAAAGCACACAGCACTGCAGGAAGTTGCAGCTGTACGGAGAAATGGTTGTTCATTATATTTGTTGTAGGATGGAAACTATAAAAATAGCCACTCTGTGCCTGTAGCCTGTATTCATTATAAACAGGAGGGGTTGTCTACCTGCCTGTCACTGGAAGAGTGGTTGAGTTGAACAGAAGCAGACAAATGATGTGCGACAGCTGGAGAATCACTGTCTTTCTGAGGTGTTTCATTGCCAGAATGTGTGCCATGTCCACATATGTGGCAGAATGAGGTTTAGGCAAATGAGGTTTTACTAATTGGATACTTAGAAACACATAAAGAGAGTTTCAACAGGGTTTCTCCCGCCAGTTATTGTGTAGACAGAGTCTGTACCCAATGGAACAATAGAGGTGAAGACAGGAAATAATGTTAATGCTATTAATGAATTACACTGAAGTAGCAGTAATTTGGTGTTGCATTGGGAAACTGACTCACTCAGAAGTTATATGAGACATGAGTGGAGGACAGGAGGAGGAGGACATATCTCCTGAGTCTCATTCTTCCACTGTAACAGTTTCTTTCAGATATCATCCATGCAAAAAAAAAAAAAAAAACAAAAACAAAAACAAAAAAACCCACCACCACCAACAAAAAAAACCTGATACACTTAAAAACAAACAAACAAACAAACACAAAAATTAAATGCCACTAATGGATTCGTATTTCAGAGAATGAGTGTGTGGTATTTCAAGAATTTGCTCAGCGTCTTGTGTCAAGCTAATTTGAGTCTAGCAACACACGCTGCAGATATTCGTGAATAGTTACCAAGGAACAATGGCTACTCTTTTCTTTCAGAAAAGAGCTAGACCTTCACAGACTATGGAAAAAATGTGTTAAAATAACCAGGTCTGGGAGAGAAGGAAGTGTAATTTAAGCTTTTTGTTCCAAATTCTGATTAGAAGACAAGGCAGAAAGAGGTGGCTTTGTAGCCTTTTCAGGCATCAGAAAATTATGATGATTTCTGATGCCATGGCTGCTTTGTTTTCTAATGAGGGAATATTATAGTTCAATTAAAACAGGATAAGCACAATCCACCTGCTTTTTAATGTCAGTAACTCTGGGCTGCAGCAAACTATATCCACACAACAGAGAAGGTGCACCTGCTCAAACGTCGTGTCGTAATTTGGCCAAAAACCTGTATGGATGAGCCTCAAATTTTTTTTCATAAAATGAGTTTGCATATTTCACTGGGTGGTAACCTTTCAGATGTATTTGCAAAGCAGAAAAGTGTAATATATCAAGTCGTATCCACGTGTTTTAGCAACTCAAGCCCTACATTCCAACATTTTTCAAAGCTTGTAATGAATTCAAGGTAAAAAGTAAGAATCATATACACTTTTTTTTTTCTTTTTCTTTTTTTTTTAAATCTCTGCTGGGCTTTAAAGAATCTGCCCACCTGTTCAAAACAGGAGATGAGCCAAAATTTCATGTTGGAGTGACAATTACCCCTGACAGGGAAAGTTTTTTCCCCCTCCCTTTTTGTTGGCCCCCTCTGGAGTGAAGGTGTGGTCCACAAAATTACTCTTCTGAACCTCAAAAAATCCAGCAAATATAGTTTACAAACATTACATCAAGTTAGAAACGGCAGCAAGAACAAAGCCTAATTTCTGCTTCAGCAGCAGGTTAGGTTGAAGGGAAAGAATGCAGGCATTTTCTTTAATGAATATTGATTGTATAAGCTCTAACATGTAATGAAAGTTGTATTTTAGAAATGCTGGTCAAGAGAATGTCCCTCTATATAACTGTTCAGACCCTAAAATAGAGTGTGGCTTTCACAATAGCAAAGAACTATATCTATCTCAGGACCAGCATCTCCCACTCCCTTTGTTTGCTCCTTCATAGATCCATCTCTCTCTGTTCCTCTGCCTTTGGAAGTCAGCAAACAATTTTCTATTTGGCAGGATGCATTCTGTGAAGCAATGATAAACATCTCCCCACTCACATCACTGAGATTCTTCATATGGAAGAAAAACCTTATACACAGTTCCTCACAAAGCCTTTTTTCTATACACTGGGATTCTAAAGGCAGTGCCAGTGGATGGAGACTATAAACATCCTCTAGTGTTTAAGAACAAGTGCCTGTGATAAGAATTTAATAACTAGGCCATGTTTTCAAGAGACAGACCAAAAACTAACAGTAAAACATGGAAACTGACCTTCAGCTCAACATATACAGTGCCTGCAAACTGGGTGCCTGCAGGCTCTGATTATGAACTTGAGGAGACCCAGAGTCTGGCTCTGTATGAAGAGTGCCCAAACAAATCCCTGAGGATGATCCCATTGTAAGACAGAGCATGATGTGCACTTTTTCTGAACACGTGTGCCTGCATGTTCTTAGAGGCCACTCCATTCTGAAATATGTGGTTGAAGTGCAGTCCTGCAGCTCTTCCTCAGAAAACCCCTCACGGAAGTCTACCGATTCTGCTAGACTAATAGAAGAGCCATTACACAAAGACATTTTTGCCTGCTGAGTCATATGTGGTAGATTTCTGTGCTCCCTGTCTGTCCCTTTGCAATATCCACTTGAACAACATTTAGGGGTATCTGAAGCT